GAAGAAGAAGGGTGTCGATCGTCGTCGTACCTCTTTACAAGGCGGAGCAATGCCTTGTCTTTATACGAGGAGGATGTCGTAGAAAATCCGCCAAAAAAAATTAACTAGAATTAAAATAATCAAATAGAATTGTATTCTTTGAATAAATTTGAAATTTACAAAGAAGATATAAGATTGCAAAACAAACACTTAAAATATTACAGAATATAATAGAAAATAAAATTTTTTTATAACACATGCGTTTCATTCGAATATTACAAAAATGATAAAATTATGCATGAAAAAAATCGTAACGGTGTAATAAGTCCGATGATATGGCGCAACATGCAGTAACGTAACATAATTTGTAATGTCCAATCGCCTGCGTTTAAAAAAATAAAATTTAACTTGTGAATTAAATGATGAATTTAAACAGTTAGGTTAGATTAAGATTAGTTAAGATTAGTTAAGATTAGTTAAGATTATTTAAGATTATTTAAGATTATTTAAGATTATTTCTCTCTCTCTCTCTTTCTCTCTCTCTCTCTCTCTCTCTCTCTATATATATATATATATATATATATATATATATATATCTTAACCGTTTAAATTCGTCATTTAATTAACACAAGTTAAATTCTATTTTTTATATAATTTTATATTATTTAAATTTTGTAAAAATTATCTGAATAATTAAATCTTAAAATCGAATCACAGACATTTGGATATTCGAATGTCTACTAAATATACTTGAGAGAGAAATCCGAAACTGTTTTACATAGATTTACATAAATATTTTTCAGATTGAAGCCCCGTCACTGAAATATATTTCGCACACATATAAAAGTTATTTTTGTACACACACATTATATAGTTTTGCATCTGCTTTCGCATTTTAGTACAATTATTTTAAAAGAAACTAAGAAAGAAGTTACACAGTTGTAGGACTAGTTCTCCGGTCATTTTCTCTCTTCTACGCGTGTTTCCGATCCATTGTGTCCTTGGTGATAATCGTACAAGATATCTCTCGAATACGAACGGCACTATTCGAACAAGGAGAATGGATACTTTGGTATATTGCGATCACTCCTAGCAACCTTTTAAGAAGAAAAACAAGGCAATGAAGATAAGAAAGATAAAAAGAGATGTCTCTCAAATTAATCATCGAACTTAAATGCCATGTCTGCCTGATTCTCGCACTTGTACATTTTTTTGAATACGTGGCGTAATTTACAATTCATATCACCTACTTAAAAAATTTTTTGTACATTTATTCGTTTCTCTTTATGCGAATCTCTAAAGATGTCATTGAAAAAAACCTTGGAAAATTATAAATTTAAATTTTATGATATCAAAGATTGCAAGAATATATTGATTGGTTATAGTACGATTTTATATGAGAATCTTAAAGGATTTATCGCTGATTGAAACAGTAAAATGCAAAACACCACAAATCCATGACACCGTATGAATTATTGATATTGCGTTTATGTATAAAATAATTAAGTACATGTATATGTTTTATCAAAGAAAATTTTATCATTGAGTGCAAAAGGAATTTATCTAAATGGGATTTGATAATTATCAAAAGAAAGCTTTGTCATCTCAAAACATGATTAGGGAATTATGAATATTAATTTGAATCGAATCGCGACTTTTGAAAAATCAAAAAAAAAATAAAATTGTAACTATCTAATTGGAATTCCGATAAACAGTGTATTCTGTCGGAAGGGTAATTCCATAGAAGATTTTGAATTCCTCTTTCTCCTCTATTTTTCTCTTTCTCAGTTGAAGGAGAATTCTAGCTCTAGTTACATCATTGAAGGAATACCGGAAGAGAGTCTGGGTTGCGTGTCTACCAATGGTTCTCGTTCATTCATTAACCCGAGCGTTCTGCGCTCGCTCCTCCCAGCTTTTCCTTTTTGCGTCCAAGAGCCGATTTGAATTGCGCGATTTCGTGAAATCGTTGCCAACAACATCCCATCGTCTCGACACAATTAGAGAATATTGCCACAAACTAATATTAACCCGTTAGTATTCGTGCCACGTATCGTTTGAAATTAAAATAGAGTGTATATAAAGCAATCTCGAAATTCATCAATGAATTTGAAAAATAGAATTAGTTTTTATTAGTTTCTTTTCTAATAAAAATACCAAAGTATCCTATAGAAAGAAAAAACTTGCCGAGATAAGGTTAATTATCGCTCAACAAATTAATATTTACTTTAATATTTCAAATTGAAAGATTATTTTGGGAAAAATCATTTAAAAAATTAATTATTGGAATATCATATTTTTATTACACGATAAAAAAGGAATAAAAGTATATAATTAAACAATAGAAATGTATAAACAGATATTTTTTCATGAGAATTCTTTTGATTTTAATTACTAAAAAAATAGAAACAAATATAATATATAAAAAAACGTAACAAACGTATTTTCTTATCAGCTTTCTGGAAAAACAGGCGGCAAGAAGAATATGCAGACACAATTTAATTAATTATACATTTTAATTAAGTGTATATGCGAATAATATCGCATACACGAACGCAAGATTCGCGAGAAGATTAGCGCGCGATGCAGTCATCATGATGTAATCATCGTTGACATTGATCGGCGATAGAGCTGTAACTTGACGAAGATACAGACTTCAAAGAGAGTCTTAAGCACCTAAGCAAATAAGCACGACAAACGTACTGTTCTCGTATCGTATAATCGCTGTTGTTGCACATGCATCTCGTCATCGCACAATAACTGACAGAGATTTAAGTTGGAATTCAACGAAATTTAGGAACACGTCCAAATAAATTCTTCCTCCAAACGTCAAAATTAACATTTTCTCAGATCTCTAGAAAAATATCCGAAATTTACATGCAATCTATCATTTTTAACATCCAACTGAAGCGATAAAATGATTTTTGAAAAGTAGGTCTTTTCTGTATCTGTTATTCAGTAAAAAGAACAATACAAAGTAGAAATTCTCTATTCCGCGAAATATATAATTTTTTAATATTTAAAAATAATATAAAATTCATTCTCTCTCTCTCTTTCTCTGAAAAATAATGTATCACGAATTCGGAGAATATTTTAAATTTAAATGTCCGCGGAAAAATAATCAACGAATGAAAGGAATGACGCGGAATTGAACTGGCCGAATTACAAATTCCTATTATTTTTACGCAGTTTTTTTTCCTTCCATCGTGGCGCAAAGCCACCCTCGATCGAAGGGTGTCCCGTGCATTTTTTCGATTGATGACACACGCCCGTCTTTTTTATCGATAAAGGCGTACCCCCGGCGTATGCCCGGTGGCCTTTTTGCATCCTCATTAAGGCGGAGAAAGGCGTGCTTGTGGGCGCGCGAAGCGTCTTTTCTTGGCGACGCGCATAAAAAGCTCTTTCCTCTCTGCGCCTAGCGTGTCGCTCGCGTGCATGAAGATCGATTCAGGTTACGCGAGCTTCGCACGCCCAACGTTATTACACAGCTAGAAAGTAACAAACACTCCCCCTTCCCTTATCTAAATGGAATCGAGAGCAATTCCTTGGAAATACTAATACCTGGAAGTCACTAATCCTCCCGCGATCGTTTAATATTAATGAGAAGTCTACTTCGACGAAGTTAGAAAAAATTTCGAGGAAGAAGCTATCGATTGAAACTTGTAAATATTCTACGGCAAAAGTGCGTCGATAATTAAATCCAGAATTAAAGTTGAAAAGTTAAGAAGAATGGAGAGTCGAATTACAAGGATGAACTGAATTTATAATTTGTGAGATCCACTTCGAGCATCGTATTTAAAGTCAATTTTTTCGAATTATCGATTTACCCCATTCTCTTCTATCGGACCTTTCAACTTTCAGGAATTCATTCCCGATCCTTAAATGAACAATCATGATTTTTAAATTTAGCCCTAGTGCAGTAATAATTTTTTTAGATAATTAAAATTTTTTTTATTTAATCGTCCATTTTCCTTTTCTCGCAGCAGTATTTTTTTTGAAGCTCTATATATCATAATTCAAAAGGGAAACATATAACATATTTCCCTCTGAGCTTTTAACAATGGAAATTTTTAATTTATTTATCAGTAATTTGGAAATGAATACTTTACATTTTTATAATGACTGAAATAATTAAAAAATTACTTCGATTATTCTATTGCTTAAAAATATCCAACATATTATTTTTAATTTAAGAAAATCCGTCATATTTATTAAAAAGATCTCGAATGCATCCTACTTCTCGTGATTTGTCTTATGTACAATAAGGTGCTCCTTACATAGTAATTTTGATCAAGATATAAAAATGAAATGAATTTCTTTATCTATTTATTAATTTATTTAAATGAAAGTGATGAAAAAACTTGAATAATATTCCTGCAAAGCATCTTCGTACCCGACATTGATATTCGTAAGATTAAGAAGGCACTACGCGGACTCGCCGACCGCGCGGACGCGTTTCATTCATGATTTCACGAGGAAACGCTACGGCGGCGACGAGCGCCACCTACACCCGGGTGTCCCCCTCCCCCTCCCCTCTTCCCCCCTCGCCGTCGCCGGCCATCCCCCATTTACTATCTGGCCGACGTAGCAGCCCCACCAATTCCCCAGGAGCGGACAATCTCCGCGCGATCTCCGTATCGCGCGAGTCGCGAGATGATGCGGAGATGATGAATCGAGTTGACTCAAGAAGAGCTAACGTGAAAATCGCGGGAATCGTTTCGACGAACATTTATGCGGAACCGCAGACGGTAGATTAAATTTTAACGCGAGCGAGTGTCCATCGCGTAAACGCTTCTCGTTAATTTATAACATCCTTGTTCCATGATTGCTGATGAGATAAGCGACACTTCATAGTCGCATATGTCAAAATACCTTTTTTTTTTTAAATATAATTTCTGCGCTTTATCATTTTTTATTACAAATATAGTTTTCGAAAAATGCAACTTCGCACCCAGTCCCAGATTAAGAGACTGTCAGTCATTTATTATGACAGCGAGCTAAGCAAGGCCGAAACTTTGTTGCAGGAACCGGCGAGTCGGGCAAGTCTACGTTCATTAAGCAGATGAGGATCATCCACGGCTCCGGCTACTCGGACGAGGACAAGAGAGGGTTCATCAAACTTGTGTACCAAAACATTTTCATGGCGATGCAGTCTATGATCCGGGCGATGGACCTCCTGAAGATTCAGTACGGCGACTCCTCGAATATAGTGCGTAGACGTTTCTAATTTTCCTTCGTAGTAATATCATTATTAGTTGAATTAATACTTTAATGTACCTTAAATATTACAAAATGACAATTTATATAGCTTCAAAAATAGTGGCTTATCAAGAGAGCTTTATATATCTCTCTCAAGTTTGTTCAATCAACTTGCTCATTTTTATTTTATTTCGTATTAATTAATCCTGCACGTTTTCTAAAATACACCAAATATTCTAAATTCACGTTTATATTCGACACAAATCAAGCTACGTATTTTAAGAGTTAATTAATCGTGCTATCAGGAAGTTAACGATAACTTGGTACGTTTAATATCGCATTCCGATATGTCGTAACAGGAAGTTGTATAGCACATTTCCGGATACTAATTCGATGCCTTTTTCCTCTTTTACCAGGAAAAAGCGGAACTCGTGCGAAGCGTGGACTTCGAAACGGTAACGACGTTCGAGAGCCCATACGTAGAGGCAATTAAGGACCTGTGGGCGGACGCCGGTATACAAGAGTGTTACGATCGCAGACGGGAATACCAGCTCACGGACTCAGCCAAGTAGTGAGTATTTCGGCTGCATCGCGCCCTCCTTTTCGCGGGGGCGGCGCGCATTCCCTCGTCTACTACGTGTCTTATCGCCAGGCGAGAAGTGTGATTATTTCTCGTTCCTTTCTCCGACTCTAACATTGGCCTCGAGTCGTTCACGTAAAATCCATATAGCCGCTGATGGAGGATGACTCAGGTTCTTACCACACTCTTCCTCTTTCGATTTTTCCCTCGCAAGAACGTCGAAACACTGATCTAATTTTCTTTCGTTATAAACAGAGGTCCGATAAAAGATTCAAATTACACAAAGACGGCTAAGATCAATTCTTTGTTTAATTTAAAACTTAATTTAATTAACAGTTATTTACAGTATAATGTTGTAAGAGGAGATTGATCAGAATCATAAAAATAATCGACTTTCGAAACTAGTTCAAAGGTTCATCGGAAGAAAGAGTGGAAAACCTGATATCATCTTGTAATTCGTTGAGGCGGTTAATAAATTACATTCGGAAAAGAAACTTAATAAAAAAAATAATCGAGTATATATACGACAATGAATGTTATAGATATGACAATTGATAGATTGTACTACAAGTTTTTAAATTTAATGTAGATTTTTTAATTTAATAAGAACAGTATTATTCGCGAACAATATAATCTACATCTCAAGTCGCTTAATTGATATCCGATAGTAGCTAACATTTCAATTATTAATTCTAAACTTGATGAAACTAAGGAAGCAAACTTGAAATTATAATGAAAGATACATCCCAAATTTCGCGAATATAACACAAGAGATTGGCAACTCTTATTTTTGTCCTTTTACGACAGAAATAACATTTGACATTTCTATGCTCGCTTATGAAAGGAAACAAGAAGGAAAATTGATTTTAGAGTCTCGTAATAAAGTCTTAGTTTTCAGAACTTTCACTTTTATCAAGCCCTTTCTGAATTTCGTGCAAACACGCGCTCACATCCGATCGTATTCTTGTTGAGTTTACATTTTCGAGCAATTTCTCTGATATTATCGCGCGCACCGGATACGATTTAATTCTCCCAAGATAGCTTCCGTCCATCCTTCATCTCCTTCCCGTACGCCGGGTATTGAGAACACGATGTTTCAGTTACCTAATGGAGATAGATCGAGTCGCGGCACCAAACTACCTCCCTACAGAACAGGACATTCTTCGTGTGAGAGTGCCCACCACCGGTATAATTGAATATCCCTTTGACTTGGAAGAGATCCGATTTAGGTATGTGTGCCTCTCGCGGTCGGCCGACGACGATGATGAAAGGAGAAGCGAGCTGCCTGCCTGCGCCTGCAAAACCACCTGCATCGGGCCGTTTCTGCATTTTTTTGTCTTCTGTGATTTATTCGCGCTGCACCTGGGATTCGTTGTTCGATTAAATGTGTTCGCCTGTTCCCCCATCCCGCCGTCTCAAGTCCTGTGGCTTTCTTCTGTTAAACGAAGCGATTTATAGGATTCTCAGAACAAACTATTACAAACTATTGTGCTATTCGCATTCATTATCTATCGATTGATTAATTGTGTAGGTGAAAAATCAGAAATCTTCCGATTCTTTCATCATGTCCGATATTACTTAACAAGCGTGCTATGATTTCTTTTCTTTTTATTTCTTTTTATTTTATTTTTATTTTTAATATTAATGATAATTAAAATTTGCGAATGAAATCGCTACACATGTAGCGTTCTATTTTGTCTGAAATTTCTAAATATAAACGCAATTGAGTTTGCTTTTATGTTTCAAAGGAAACCTAATTTCAAATATAGAGATTGCGTATTATGGAAGCAAAAATATGAAATCGTGAAACGTACCAAAGAGTAAGCTTCAGGACTCAATATCGTTAAAAAACTCTTTCAGGCTGAGCCAATGGACGAGCATGTGTGAGAATTGTTTTATATACGTTATTTTCCCCCTCCCCCTTCTGTTTTACAATTATTTATATATATATATATATATATATATATACATATATTTTGTTTAATGTACACTACGCATGGCATGCACTTCCAGACAGCAGCTTTTTATTTCGTTTTACAGTTATCTTAGTGATCTAGACCGTATCGAAAAGCCTGATTTCCTTCCGACCGAGCAAGACATCCTCCGGGCACGAGCTCCTACCACCGGCATTATAGAATATCCGTTTGATCTGGACTCCATCATATTTAGGTACTAATAGCCATTCAACTCGATTATACAAATACTTCAAATACTCGAGTCTTTTATCATAAAAAAATGTATTCATATAATAAAATATGCAAAATATACATTTTTTTAAATTTATATATTCAGAAATTTTTTTCATTTATATGTCTAGAAATATCTCGTAGCTTTAATTTTTAAATCCAGAGATCCAAAAACTTAAGAACTTAGAAATTTTAAACAGTTAAATACTTTGGAATGAAATTTTTTTAGAATTTAATTTTAATAGACCAATATAATTTTAATTTAATTATTAATAAAACTGTTATATTATAATGGAAGAAATATTTAATGTTATCACAAGGTTGAAAAATGGTGGAAAAAATTTATTCACTTATATATATATATATATAATTTGGACATATTGTTATATTCTCGAATATAATGTTTAAGGAGCTTCAACGTTTGCATGCTTTTTTATGTTTTATTTTTTCAATAATGTGCTAATATTACTGCATGTATCAGATTATTAATGTTATTTATAATTAGATAATGATTGTGTGAAAATGATGAACATATGTCTTTTTATGATTGTGTTAAAATAATTTATATGTTTGTATAGGTTATCAAAAGGTAAATTGCGCGGGATGAATTGGGTCACAAGAGAAACATATATTTATAAGTTTCTTTTTTTAATTTTTTATAATATTCTCTTTTATGAGATATAAAATAATTCAAATATATTTGATTTCTTTTCATCCAATGTATCCTTAAACAGAAGTCTTGTCTAACTAGATTAGAGACTCTTAATCACGTAAATGGTCAATAAAGAAAGACACAAGTGAGCTTCTTCTTGTCTTTTGTTTGCATCTTTATTGATGGCTATAAAAAATTCCGAAGTATAAAAGACGAAGAGCATCGTGCAGTAAATGCGTGCAATAGCGACCCATTGCATGTGATTCGCCGCTAGAGTACCTTTACTGAGGATTTAAAGACCACTTTATTCGTTCTATGATCCAATTCATCCTACGTGTTTTTTATCAATGTCAACATGCGCGTAAAAACTATTCGCGATAGATTATATTTTTTGACAGTTGGACAGATCTTACACTTGAGTCTCGAGATTTTCAAATTTGTTTTTATAACCGTTTCTCTTATTCTGCCTTTTCACTATTTCACATGTGTCACGTGACCATACATGTATTTATAATGGGATTATTTTATATATTAAAAGATTATATTTTCGATATATGATTTTGGATATAAATAATTTTGAACTAAATTCTAAAGTGGCATGTATTTCAAAATACAATTTTTTTTTGTATATTTTTTTATAAATTTTCATAGGCAGCGATTTGGAAAATCTAAACTTTATTTACTTATTTATCGAAATTATTTTCAAATTAAGAATATGATTTCGATTATACATTTCTTTTATACCTTATTAGCAATATAGTTCAACTAAACATTATTTACAGGATGGTAGACGTCGGTGGTCAGAGGTCGGAAAGAAGAAAGTGGATCCACTGTTTCGAAAATGTCACTTCAATTATATTTTTAGTAGCTCTAAGTGAATATGATCAAATTCTATTTGAATCGGAAAACGAGGTAATTAGAACACTTTAGTACTTATGTATCGTAGACAATCTTGAACGTTCTTGTAATCTATTTGGTCTCTATTTTCTTTCAGAATCGAATGGAGGAAAGTAAAGCACTCTTCAAAACGATTATAACATATCCCTGGTTTCAACACTCTTCTGTTATTCTATTTCTCAACAAGAAAGATCTATTAGAGGAAAAAATCATGTACTCTCATCTCGTCGATTACTTTCCAGAATATGATGGTAAGTTATGATATTAAAAACCCTTTCTTCCCTTTTATTAAAAAATAATCAAATATTATCATTATCCATTTAATATTACATATTAGGTATCCATTGTTAATCAATTACACTAGATTTTATTTTAAAATGAAAATTATGGAAATGCAATAAGCGCACCAAATATTTATTAAATTAATAAAAATATGTAGTTATTTTTGTTTTCACAAAAATTAAGATAAATTAGTTGATATTTGAATTAAAAATTACTTCAAAGCGTATAAATTGCGTGAAGCGCGATGAGATGATTTACCTCGATAGTAAATAAATAAGTTCTATGGTATAGGGCCGAAACAGCAAGATGTACCGGCCAGGGAGTTCATCTTAAAGGTGTATCTCAAATGTAATCCCGATCCCGACCGAATGTGCTACTCTCACTTTACGTGTGCGACAGGTCTGTCTAAGTATCGAGTGTGTCCCGAGCAGAAGATGTAGATCCCTTAGTAGTGATTTGTCGAACGTGATTCGTTAATGTTACGTGTATCTTTTATATGCTTTATTGTAATTTTGCCGCTTTGATATATATATCAAAAATCGCGTAATCAATTTTAATTAGCAGTAATCTGCTCGAAGGCTACTTATTTCGGTGCATACAGCATATCCCTCTGCGCGTTTATAATAATTAATAGCATATAATATATTGATATAGAATTAACTCGTATTAGATTGAGAAGCTAGTTAATGTCTTAAATCGAAAGACGCTCGTCAAACTTTGCATTATAATTTTACACAAAACACTTTATATTATTATTAATTACTGAATATTTCGCGAAAATACTTGATTGTATCGAAATTCTTCGGAAAAAAACGAGGATTCGCGATCTTGGATCGAAGAAAAATTTTCGAATTTTATTTCAAATTACATGTAACAAGTTATGTGCACAAGCAGCTGTTTCAGATTTGCAAAATTATGTTTAGTACTCTTATATAAGCCCTCTAGCTTATTAATGGAGCTTTCGAAAGGCTTCTTTGATGTTCACTATGACTAATTCAATAAGCTGTCCTTGGAGGAGAGCGAATATTGGATTTGAGCAAAGTACAACATTATTCCATTAAAATGGATCAAAATTCGTCTGCATTGCGCGCGTTATCCTTTGCACATCGAGCGAAACCGAGCGTCGTTGATTCACGCGCGGCAACGTTCTCTTCGACTGCAGATTTTCATTCATCTTGTAAAATAGATACTTAGAAATATCGTAACACACGGACGGGATTTCCTTGGCTAGATTCCAGCTCACATCTCGTAGTATTTACACCTGGCGACTTTTCAACGATGCGTAGCAATTAATCGTTCCGCGGTTAAGCAATCGCTAAAAAAGAAGCTGATATCTGATGCTTTGTAAATAAACGGAAGTAATGCCATGCCCCTCTCTTCGCTTGTATATTTCGCAGGTCCGCAGAGAGACGCCATAGCTGCTAGAGAATTCATTCTGAGGATGTTTGTTGAGTTGAACCCGGACAGTGAGAAGATTATTTATTCCCACTTTACGTGTGCCACAGGTAGGTTGTTAGCCACTTGGTAGCTCCCGTGTACAAAAATACTGTATACTTTTCTCGCTTTATAACAGTTCTTCGATGTGTTGTGTATTGTACAGAGCTTGTATGTTGCCTGCCTCCCGTATGATCAGGTGTGTAATCAAATGTTATAAACGTGCGCCATGGAAAAATCAACCTACGTACGTATCTATGAAAGGCATCTTTTTTCGGTCAACACATATTCTATATACACTTATTAACGCATAGGAGATTGCACGAAAACAAAAGGATCAATTAGATGAACTAATCTAATTAAACAAATATATAACTCTAATTATATATTTAAGCATAAAAAATTATTCATAAAAAAAAAGAAAAGTAAATATAATGACCTAAATTATAAAATGAATTGCCCTCAACACAACAACCTCAATATTTTTAATTTATTTCATTTAAAAATATATTAATATAATAATGCACAGAGCATATATAAATTTTTTTTTTACAAATTATTATTGGTATATATTTACCAGATGGTAGTTAATATTACGAAATATTAACAGAATTCGACAAATGTAATGAATAGATAAACTTGTAGTATTAGGTTGATTTTTCGAAGGCATAATGCGGTGCTAACCAATCTCAATGATCTTATAATTTATATTTTGCATGCTGCGGTTGTGGATAATTAACCATCAGATACGGAAAACATCAAGCTTGTGTTCTGCGCTGTTAAGGATACGATCATGCAAACCGCGCTTAAGGAGTTTAATCTTGCTTAATGCGATCATATGGACTGTATAGATATTATCAGATGTGTGCGTAGACTTCTGACGATGCCATTGATATTTGAACGTCGATAGTGACGTAGATCTATGCCACATGAATCTGACAGAATTAACCGAGTAACTCGACTAGTGAATACTGAAAGTAATTAAATAGCTATTGCTTGGCAGATATTATTGCAAGAAACGAGTCGAGATGCGAGTCATTTTTTAAATATTTCTCTATGCTAGTCTCTAAAAAAATTAATCCGTGTGGCTTAGCTCTGTGTCGTTCTCGGCGATTCATCTTAAACATTAAAATGCCGTGCGAATACCTAATGACTGGTTTACCTTCTAAAAATGACTGCCAGTTTTATCGTTGACGACAACACATTACAACGTTAAGTAAAAGATATATTAATAGGATCTTGTAATCCTTAAATAAAATGAACATTGCAATTGATGTTCGTTCTAATAATTACTATAGTATTGCTCTATTTCTTGCAACATTGCATTGCTTGATATGCCTTTATAACAAGGTTTCTTTTCGATTATGTTTTTATTGTATTTGCTATATTATAGTCGGGCAAAAATAGAATATTCCATTGTTTGTGATTAAAGTTATAATCATTTATAAATGTTAATTTTTGTAGAAAGATAATACGATACTTTACAAGGATCGTAATTCAGATATTTTGAATAATTTCTCTGCGATTTATAAGAAGTAATTTTTTTGAATATATATACTTCTTTAAATATTTATTGATATCAATTAAAATATTTCACGCTTAAACGCGAATTATTTTAATGTTTTAAAATATGTACTTACAATTTTGCAATAATCTCTTCGGATTTTTTTGCATTATTAATCTTTGATTTAATTCGCTAAGCTTCGTCAAAATAAGCGTCGAGAAAGAAACTGTAGATAATTCATATAGACTACTGTATATCTATAGTTTCTTTCTCATATCACTATAAAAAGTATTTCAAAAAGAATTGCATGCTGCATGTGTGTGACGACTGTCCAGGATCTGAAGCTTCTTGTTTAGGGTAAGTGTTGACTTTCGTTTTAGGCTACTTTTATGTTAATCTTTTTGAGAAGTTATTAAAGTTATTAATCTTTTTGAAAAGTTATTAAGAATTAATAAAAAAATAACTGATATAATACTGAAAAATTAAATTTCATGTGGCATGTATACTTGTAAAGATACACATACACACATTATATTACACATAAGTTTCAACCGTCAATGCTCCACGAATATCTAATAGTGCGTATGCGGATCAAAAGTCAATACGAGATATGTATCTCAAGTGTGTACAAGATATGTATCTTGAGTGTTATAACAGGTCAACAATGACAAATATGACAATACAATGACAAGTTCCACCTTAGAAAAAGGGAAAATCATTCATAGCATGTGTCAAAGAACGCTTTTATGCAACTTAGAATAAAAACGTTTCTCTTTAAAAACGTATGAATGGAATATAAATTAAGAATACATCGAGATTTTTAAACACGTGTATTGTCTTATTCCACAGATACGGAGAACATCAGATTCGTGTTCGCGGCGGTCAAGGACACCATCCTACAGTCCAATCTGAAGGAGTACAATCTGGTTTAGACGGCGAAATGCGCTGATGGCGAATCCGAGCGGACACGACCACAGTTTCTCTCGCATCCTGACCAATGTATCAGTGTGAGACTGCTACTCCGTTGACTCGCGATCCGAGAAACGACGAAGATGCGCGAGACAAAAACGATACACAGACTCGTGGTGCGATCGTATACACGCAGACACCGAGCGTGCGTCGCGTCGAGCTTTGTCGTGTATTGAGAGTGTGTTGTTTGTACCAACAAGTAGCTAGACACGCGTAAGACACGTAATTATGATGGACGTAAAATGCGATGGAGCGATGTAGAAGAGACCGTCACCGAGCGTTCTCTTTTTCTCTTCGGCAAGAAAGAGAGAATATGAGGAAAAGGAGCAAAATCTATCTTCACTGTCGATACCAACTCGCGCGAGTCGATTCGGTTCTCTCGTACACCGGTTCCCATGTTTTGGGATTTGTTACCTTTCTTTTGTAGATTAATTCTTAGTCGATATTGCGCGCGCGAATGCGCTCCCCCTTCCCCCCTCCTCGGGCCGGGGAATACGTCGATACCAGGGGCCCCGGGCATCGTTGTCTGACTTTTATATATATATGAACGAACGAACGCGAGGGCGAACGTGTCTCACGCGCGTGAGCGTGGCACACGGCGCGGCTGTGCCGCGCGCATTTTTAACGGCGCGTCTGCCTGTGTTCGTCTCTCGAGTCCAAGAGATCTCAGCGGAGGAGAGAAGAAAACTGAAGAGGCGAAACGGCGAGGCGAGCGAGCGAACGAAAGAAAGAACGGGCTTTTTAATCGCGAATTAGATTCGATGACACAAGTGAGAGCAATTCTAGTGCCATTTATTGCTATGGTGTTTGTTTTTTTTCTTTCTTTTCTATTTCCTTTTCTTTTTTTTTTCATTAATCTATTAAATGCGCTAAATTATGAGAATGTTTTTCGTTTAAAGTTACGCGAAAGCCAAAGTGTTTTTCTGTTTCTTTTTATCTGTACCAGAAATGCCTCAAAGTTCTTTCTACGTGTGACTCTCTCGAATCTATTAAAAATTCATCGTATAAATATTGTTATATATAATATATAAAGAATGAAATATAGATTATATATATAGAGCGCGAGAGAGGTAGAGAGAGAAAGCGGGGAGAAGAAAGCATGGATACCAACGGCAGTGACGGAGAGAAAGGGAGAGAGAGAGAGAAAGGGGAGAAAGAGAGTAAGAATGAATGCGAAAGAGAGAAATTATGTATGTGTGAAATGAAAAGGAAACCTTGTGTTTGAGTAATCGAAAGATACTGCGGGAAACTGCGTTTGTTCGATGTGACTTAGATAATTAAGGGGCGCGGGAGGAGCCCGCAGATATCTCTCTCTGCCGTCTCCTCTCTCTGCCGGCTGTGCGTCCAGGTTGCGCGAGGGGAATTGATCCTCGAACTGCGTGCGAATCCCTCCAGAATGATTTTTCTCAACTTGCGAAGACGAATTAATTTTTCGAGAACGGGAAGTTTCGACTTGTAGAGAGATAGATTCCTAAAGAGTGCGAGAGAAATTCCGACTTGCAATGATCGAATTCCTTAAGAATGAGGAGTTTCTCGATCTGCAATGATGAATTTCAGAAATTTCTGAAGCATGTGAAAAGTCCCGGTGAGTTTTTCGCGAACAAGATGCCTCTTGAATTTGCAAGGAATCGAATTCTTTGTCAAAAATCTCTTATGAATGAACATCGCGTTGGCGAACTTCTCGGTTGCGATGATGAAGGAGGAGTTCGTCGCGGTTCTCCCTTCGTTTGGCCCTCGTCCTCTCACACGGCGGCACAGCCACCGCGTGCAGCCAGAGCCATAGGTCCCCTCTCTCTTGGAGGAGGGGGGACTTTATGTCCTTCGCTCGCCCCGTATCCACATTATACAGTGTACGTACGTATGAACTGCTCACTGCCTGCGCTCGCTCATATGCCGGCTAGCGCGCTGCCCGTTGCTCGTACTCTCTGACGGTTCGATCGTTTCAATTTACTTGAAAGTCATGGTTTGCGTTATCTTTTTTGCTCTTCTCTGAGTGTATTAAAGCGATAAATGCGAGAAAAGAAAGCTTATAGTAAATTATAACGGTGAAATAAAATTGAGAGAAAATTCTACAAATTGCTGTAATAAAATAATTTATAAAAGGAAAGTATTTTATAATTTTGAAAGAAAGAGAGAAAGGGAGAAAAGTAAAATACGAAACTGAGATTAATTTCCTCAATATTCTTTTCCTGTCACAGAATACGCGATAAAAAAGAGACAAGATCAAAGTAAGGACAAAGTAAGGGAAAAGTTCATATAAACAGGTGTAAATCATCGGTGAAGAGAAATGAAGAAATCTTGTCTCCTAAGTTGTTCGACTCTAAAATCGCGGTTCTTTGAAACGCATGAGAAAAAAAGATAGCATGAACTTTTCGACGAGAAAAAGAGACTAGATCAGTCTTTTCATTTTTACTAAATGCGAAGCAGAAAAGAAGATAACGCGAAGCGTCGTAGGACTATTCATCAGAGTCGAGAATAGTCATTAAGTGTAATTGTGAGATATGCGCGATGACGGGAGCCGCGCGCGAACCCGGAGAGTACGTTGCGCCAATAGAGATAATCTCTCTACGTGACGTCGGCTGAAACCGGAAGAATTTTTGCGTTCCAACACAGATGTGCACAACATCCCAAATGTCACCGGATTCCGCTGGCGCCGCGCACGCACCGCACATACCGGGCAGCATGTGTCATATACCTTGGTTGTGTCACACCCACCTTGGTTGGAACACTGAGTTTATATATGAAAGAAAAAAAGTATGTATGTATGTATATATATATATATATATATATATATATATATATATATATATATATATATACATATTTATATAAATATAAATACATTAGATAATATATTATATATTAAGCGGATACCACACAACAAATAATATTGAATAATAACATTAATAATTATAATAATTATTATAATAATAATTATAATGATAAAATAATAATAATAATAGTAATAAAATAATAAATTAATAATAGTAATACTGCTTGGTTTTCAATGAGAGCGCGTGATTAAACGGATGATGGCAGAGAGGGAGGGAGAGGTAGCGCATGTGCAGGACACGAAATGTAAAACAATGCTAGTGAAAAAATGAATGAGAGAGAAAAAGAGAGAACGCGTATGTATGCGTATGTGCATTTTCGTGTGTGCGTCTTCGTGCATATTTATGCGTATTTGTGCAATTGTATGGGCATCGCGTGTACATGTGTGAAAGGAGAAAGAGAGAGGGGTTGGCAAAAAAGAGAAAGAGAGAGAGCAGGAGGCGAAATGAAGAAGGAAGGTAAGGAAGTGATTTTCAATGTGCGTGTGTGAGGACATTTTAATGAGAGATGAAAAAAATTAAGAGGAGATCGGTTGCGACACTATAGGCTTTGTACAACCCTAATCGAGAAACCGGCGATTGACGATGTGCAAGAGTCTCCAAGGGGCTGTTAGGTTCATTTGTAAATCATCTCTCTTTCGTCAGGAAGCGCGTACACCACCCTTCCGAGAACATAAAATATGTTGGGTATTCTTTCTCTGTGTATAAAATTGTAAACACCTACCAAGCCCAAAAAATCAATGTTTCTAACTTATTTATAATAAATAATATACATTAATGATAAAAATAAACACACACAGTTTGTGACAGTAGCATCGACGAGCGTGACGAGAGAATTCATCCCCCAATAGCAATAGTAATCCTTTCCTCTATCCCGCAGTACTATTATTTCAAGAATTTGTCGTATTTTTCTTAATGCGATCCAACTGCATTGTTTCTATCTTAATAGAAGATTATGCAATAATATTTCTAAAAGTCTAAGCATTTTATTTCTATAATAAATTTGAAAATTGATTGTTTTCTTTATTAATGTGTGACATTGTCATCATCTGAGTTTACATTGATCTTATATGCAAA